CTTCAGCTACAGAGGTGTCTTGTTTCACGTTATTGATGATGTTTTTCAAAGCTTCACTTCTATCTGTGTCAGAGGAAATGGCGGAGGACTTCGAGGATGCAGGTCAGCGCTACACTTTCCTCCTCCGGCCGGTGAAGGATTTAGGGAAGAATTTTGAAATCAACATCGCAAAGGAACTAGATGAATATTGTGAACGGCTTACGAATGCTTCCGATGCGGCACACGGTGGTGTTGACAATAATCTACAGGTCCGTTACTTCTTAAACCCGTCGGAGTATTCCAGCGGTTTTGACTTTCCTTAGACTTCGTATTTTCAATAGGCTTATCTGTTTAGGTTCAATTTTGCCGAAGCAGGCCATGCTGTATTCCAGGGATCAGCGTATGGTGTTTCGCAAAACAGGTTGACTAATGTTCAACTCCCGAAGCTTGTTCGGCACTTCTTCGACGGCGTTATACAGGCCAAAGAAGACTAAAAAGAAGAAGAAAAAAGGAGGTAGTCTTCCCCAGTAGTGTCTGTATGACGTCGTGAAAGATTCTTTGGTGCAGAAGAGGAAGACGAAGGATTTGTCGAAGGCGACGGTGCAAATGTTGATCCATGTGATTTGGTAGACTACTCCAAAGCGAAAAGGTGCAAAGAAAGGGTTCTCTTCAAGAACTACGAAAGTGAGTGCCGCAACGACTTTCAGATTTTTCCAGTGTATCCCTCTCGATTTTCACATTTCTTAAGAAACCAAATACGGAGGTCATCCACCAAAGATAAAAGTCATGCCAATGGCGTTAATGCCATTAGCGGATCATGAAAAGAATGGCGTGCTGGTTTACTCCACCGGCTATCGTATGGAAGTTGTGGGTAAGATGGACGATTTCAAAATGAATGCAGGCTTTTTGAATAGTAGGGTGAGTTTGATTTCCCTTTACTGGAATTGGCTTCTCGTTTGAAGTTATTCTTCTGTGCCAACGAGGAGTGGTAACGGAAGGCTGCGTTCATACTTTGCGTCAGCGTTCAGCAGCATTTCGAGCGTATGCCAGCGCCAGCGACTAGGAAAGTATAGATATCGATCTAGCGAACGCCAGCGTACAGCAGCGTTTTCACAGGCACTTTTGAACTTGAGCACAACTGCCCGCGAAAACGGTGGTGAACGCTGACGCAAAGTATAAACGCTGTCTCACAACACCGCTAGAGAAGCATCTGATCGAGCATCGCGGAAGCAACATGGGTGATCAAGATCTTAGCGCACGAGACTGAGAATTCCACTTGAAAAACGCTTGAGGCATTCTAGATTTCTGCAAGGAGTCCCAGAACGAACGAACGAAATGAGTTTTAATCCATAACAAATGACCTCTTACCATTTTCAACGCATTGTAAGCTATTGATATAAGCGGTGAGACGTGCAAGACCTGAATAGTGCTACCATATAAGGGCTGCATCGTTAGTTTCACTTATATTACCAAAAATTAACAGAGCGGTTTTATCCCGTTCATGCCGCGGTGGACTTGGTGAGTATGTTTTACCCATGGAAGATTTTCGGTTGTTCCTTGAAGTTTCTCGAAGGACGTGGCGTTACGGTTTAGAGGGCATATTACAAATTTAGATACTTGTGAGGACGACGTCTGGTCGAAAAGTTAGGCTTTCTAAAGTTCCACCCACTCACTTCGTTGACACAGAAAAATTACATCAAATTTGCGATAAAGTCGGTGTTTGCGTCTGCAGCACTAGCGTCCAATAGCGTTTCAAGCGCGCGCTAGCGCCAGCGACTAGGAAAGTAGAGACGTCGACATAGCGAACGCTAGCGTCCAGGAGTAGAGAGTATGGGGAAGTAGGAGGGTAACCAACAGCTGCATTAGGCGTCGTGAAATGTTGCTATCGTACTGTGCAGCTGCACCACACCGTGCGTCAAGTTTGCACGATTCCGTGCTTTAGCAGTTGCACGGGGCGGTTGCACACGCCGCGATTTCACGACGCCTAACCTTGTCGTCTGCTACCCTCCTATCGCATCTCTCCACTCCGAGACCTTGGCGTTCCGATAGAATCATACCCATAATTTCCTAGTCCTCGAGAAGCTGGTGGAGCTGACGCAAAGTATGAACGCCCAATGAGTTTTGCCTTTTTTTCAGGGTGTTTTGTTGCTGCATTTGGCTCACAACAAGATTGTTGATCAGTTTGCCAGTGAAGAGTTCCTGCGAAAGTGGCATCCGTATCTCTATAATCCTGACGGAACTGTGGTTGCAAATCCCTATGGCGCTCATGCAGGACTTGCAATATATTACATGAGGAGACGCAACACTTTGTCGCAGATCCCTCATTCCAGAACAGGTTTCAACACTCAATCACAGGCCCCTGATTCCGGAAGAGGCTCTCCCTTAGGTAAATTGTAGGGTTTCGCAATCCTTGGTGCAGGTGTACCATAGTCCGTCACCCTTTGAGAAATGGCGTATCCCTGACTCACACAGCTGATTTTTAGCAGGAAAACCTGCATGGTAGATGGCGTCTCAAGCGTGTCATGGACGTGTTGAGTGATGTCAATGACATGTCATCTATCTCAATGGGTGACATACTAAACGCACCTGTGCTACATAATCTTTCAGTCTTATTGGTTCGTATTTTCCTTTTTAGACGAACTCGCTGCGGGAGATCATGCGCGGATACCTAGTGCCATGGAAATTGCACGTCGTGGAACAACGAACACTTTCAACGACTTACAATCTGCCAGGTGATAACTCCTTCTTTTTTGGCAAAAAGCTATTCCACTAGCCGACGCTTTTCACGTTAATCGTTCCCTGTACATTTTTACTGCGTTATAATCTAGTGCTTATCAGCACCTGCAACTCTAAATGAACACGTGCGCAGTTTTCACGACGACGGGGGGGGGGGGGAGGGAGGCATTTTGCACTTTTGCTACTTCCCATCGACCTATCTAGACAGCCTCTTCTCGAGTTGACAGGTTTTAACATGATGGCTTGACGACCTTGTTCCAGCTTCACAAGAGTTCACAGGTTTCGCCAGAGTGAGACATGTAAACCGGAACTAAGGAAGCAATGATAGTACAAAATGCCCCCCCCCCCGTCGTCAAACTGCGCCCTATTTATAGACTGAGGTCATCGTGAATGTGTAAATCGTGACTGTCTTAAAAGCGCATTTCGTATTTACTCGTAGGGTGGGATCCACCCCGCTTATGCGATGCAGTCTGCAGCCTTACGAGGTTTAGCACCTTTGTCGCGAGAGAAAGACGCTGGGGATTATGGCATGTGTAATGCTCCGCCCCGTGGTCGCGGCTCCCCCACTGCCCTCTACCCTATAGGGAACGATAACATGACGGAAAAGCGTAACAAAACGACAAAATCAAGTTAAAGCGCTTCAGCATGTTTTTTGGCAGCCGTATTGATTTGCTTGTCAAATTGGTAGAATTTTAGGCCAAGTACGCGTCTGTTGGAAGTGCCGGAAGTGGAGACCCTCGAAGTGAAGCTGGTTGCTGATGGTGGTGGTGGTGGTGGTGATGATTGTTATGGCGACAGTTTCGATTGTGATGGAGATTTCACTTTGCCTCACCCACCTGCCTGTGAGAAACGTGCATCTCGTGTGAAAGAACGTGGTCCAATGCCGGTATCTTTGCATTTTCTTAATTCGAAGCATAGATTTCTGGCAGAAGTGTTCTATTATTAATTTTTTCAAATTTTAGTGGGAGACTGAAGTGGATGTAGATTGTACAGAAAAGCTTCTGTTGAATCCCTTTGAAGCGTCCAAGTGGAAGACGAAGCCGATAGAGAAAATCCAGCGGTTTGTTAGAGGTTCTACCATTGCCGCTAGAATGGAGAAGGTACCGTTGGCTATATCTTCCTTCCTTCTCATAACTTTCATCGTCGGTGCATAAGAAAGTTTCTAGAACGAAAGCAAACTGACCTTCCAAAAACGTACGATGAGGACGAACGACTATGTCAAAGAACACTTCTTTATGCGGAAGAAGGTTAAAGAAATGTAAAGCTGATGATTGGGTAAGTGTTGCTTGGTAGTTACCGTGCGAAAAATCCTGCCTCTATCCATTTTGTTTCTTAGCAATCTGATGCTCTTTACCGGTTTATCGTTGCGGTGATGAAAAGGAGAGCCGAAGCAAAGCGCGAAAGCAAAAAAGCGAAACCGGTCGCTGAAGGTTGGTTTCAAAACTTTTCTGTGGTAAAATTCCAAACGTTTTCATTGGTTATAAAACTTCAGTATTTGGGCGACTGTTATGAGCACAGTTGCCATCGCTAGTCTCTCTCTAAGACCGCTTTGATACTTTGCGGCGCAGGAGATTTGAGAGATTGCGCAACGGAGGAAAGTATAGTTATCGGTCTGAGGACAGCAGAAATTGAGCTATCCGGTGATTTGGAAGGCTCGGCATTTCGCGCACTCGCGTGCTAAGGGCGAGGATGGGTATGGAATGGCGCCGGCCAGCGCCCATCCACTCCTTTGGCGCGCTAGAAACGCCGAATCTCCCAAGGCGCAAAATATGTGCGACCTCAGTAGTAGAGCTCTTTCTGTAGCACAGACGATGTGTTTCCCAGCGAAATATTTCATCAGTTTCGAAGAGTCATATGTTTTAGGGAGGAAGCGAGAACTTCCGAGCTCTTGTTTCGGTGTAGTTGTAGAAAGAGTATTCATGAAATTCCGGTGGCCACTTTGCTTTTTCGGAAATAATACATGTTATTGTATTATTTGTATAATTTATGTTATGGTATTCATGTTCTGATTAGGAACTGGGGCAAATATCATATTTTAAAAGTTTGGCTCTTCCTGGGGATCAAGTTTACCTTCCTTTGACTTGAGCCTTGGCATGAGGGGTGCGGGACAAACAGTAGGCATGCGTCTGTTTGCTACGAATATTGCGTAATATCCCGAAAATCCCAAATTTGGCCTGGAATGTCTGCCACTTCATGAGTGACGAAGTATAATGGACCCATTCTCGTCTTCATATTTTGATTGTGGCCTTGTCAATGTGTTTTATTTGAAAGTCCCTTATTGTTGAACGTTGTGCTTCTCAGCCGTGTACACTGATGACGACGATGGCGTCTACGACTGCGACGATGATGGTGAGGATTATGCTGACGCTAACGATGAAAATGTTCCTCCGAAAACAAATGCTGCTGGAACCCAAGGAGTAGATGATTCTAAGAAGGCCGCAGAGTCTGCTCCCGACGCTGTCGAGGTATTAGTTGTGCTTATTAATGACTTACCCTTGCAAAGAGCCACCGCTTTAATTTTTTGCTTGTTGAAAACGATCTTGTTGGTTGCACTGTTCACTCTAAGATTTCCACTTCTCGAAAATTAGATGGGATTGTGGGTGAAATGTCTTGATGCCAGGTTATTCTGGGATGTCGTTCCCTCTATGTTTCGTACCCAGGGGACAGCATCTGCCCAGGGGGTCGGTCATGGCCGCTGAGGAAGGGGTGGGGGGTCGTCAATGCAGAGTCAGTTAGCACCGAACAGCGCGAAAACTTTCACGGCTGGGTCCTGTGGTTCGGCGACAGCATAGTAGGGAACCCGGAAGTGTGGAAGACTACAAAGTACCGAAATAATTTACCATCACTAGATTATTTTGCGCTTCCGACGCAAGGCGCTCGGCTACATACTTAACTTTCTAGTCCTTCTTGTTTCAGAAGAGCGACACAAGGAGAGGGGGAGGGTCTAACTACTGGGACGCTTTTTCACGAGAAACGTCCTACTGTACGCGCACACCTACACATCACGAGCTGTACACTGTTTTGCACTAACCGAGTACAGTTATCCTGCTGTGATAAATGTCTATAACCGGCCGCGGCAAGTAAAGCTGCCAGTCAATCACACTTTCTTTCCGGAAACTCGTCGCCGAGTGAAATGTCTATGCTATAAAAAGTGTATCAGCAATCTGATAAGCGCGAGACCTTCTGTTAGTAAGTCCAGGTGTCCCGCCTACTAACCAGAAGTTTCGCTGAGACTGACTTGCGGGGAGCCTGTGGCGAGAGCGTCAAGCGTTTTCGCTCAGGGTGGATGTTATATTTACGTTCAGTGGTATTCAGCGAGTCAAATCTCCTTCCTTCGTAGACAAAATTTCATATCAGCTTATCACCGAGGTATGTGCGAGATCAAAATCTGGCATGAATCGCAAGACTTTCTTACTCTCCTTTCTGCTCTTTTCTTTGTTGTGTGAAGTGCACAAAGGTATAAAATTACACCCGCAAATGCTTCTTGACCATTTGGTACATTTCTTCAGGTACATTTGTTCCTGCATTTTTAGGCTCGCAAGTCTATTCCGATTATTGATTTGATGTTTGGTGACATAAGCGATGATGATCTCAACAACTCCATAGATATCGGTTCTTTATACGGAGGTTAGTTTCATACCTTCTCCCATGCTTACTCTACAGTCCTACCGAATCGGCGGGGTGCGTCAGTGTGACGTGGGTTTTGGCGCAGCATCAGCTGGATTCACGCAGTTTTCATCAAATAAGGCAATGATCAGTGAGAATGAGCTGGCACCGCTCCAGGACCCTGATCACACTGACACGCCCTGTTCATTCGGTTGAGGACTATATGAGCTCTAATTAGATTGATATGCCATATCGTTCGTAGAGTTGCTTTTGAGATCTCATACCTATTGGATGAGATTTTACATTGAATACCATTGTACAATCACCTCAGTGGATCCTGATCCTTGCCATAAGGTAACTGGAATCGTATCAGCTCTCACTCTCCACTCAGTTCCACGGAACTGAGCTGGAGAGTAGTAATGCCCGGGTGCACTCTCCATACTCCACCTGCGCTGCTCCATGGCCAGTCACACGCCTGACCATAGCCGAACGCGCTTCTTGGTTGCGCTGTCTCACTTCTGCTCTTCTCTTCCTCTGACTGCGTGTTCGCTTCGCAGCGAATTTTCAGTATTGGCGCAATTGGTGCATCTTGAGGATAGCATGGGCGGAATATGTCGAGAATGCTTGTCAGGTATACTACCCCCGTTTTCCGCGCGTGGGCTTGTCTGAGACCACAGCTGCAGACCTGATCGCTCGCTCTTTATGAACTAGAGCCGCTCCTGGAAGTAATACAGTTGCTATTCAGAGTTAACGGCCAAAATTTAGCTTCCAGCCTCCGCTCAGAATATATGGGAAGAAGAAGTTACTGTATATTTCAGGAGTGTGCATCGCCTCGCAAGAGAAAGTCCAGAAGTCACGCCAGTAGGCAAGATCAAGGAAAAAAGAAATTCAGCCTTCTGGAGCTTCTACACGAACACATGTTAAAGTACGTAGTTGTCAAGGATTCCTCTCTTAGCTTTACATTTATCCACGGTTTTACTGAGAATTTTGACTTTTTGTATCTCTTATATTTTTATACATCCTGATACTCTTGACAGGGGGTTGTGTTTTGACTACCTCGAATGATTTCTTTTGTGGCAGGAGATGGTCCAAGCCTTTCAGTCCTTAACATGTAACTTACCGCCATTCCGAAGTGTAGGCAATAGGCTATACAGCTTGTGACATATCTTAGTCGTGTTTATGTTTTACGCTTTTACCTTCTGCACGCGAAATAAACGCTCCGGCGCATAGCTGCGCCATACTGACCAGCTGTGCTCCTAAGCCAGTTCAATCCCCGCGATAACTGTACGCCTGGGCTTCCTAGTGTATGACTGCGGTCCTAATGTATGGAGGCGGCTGTGGCGAGTGCCCCCGCGAGTGCAGCAGAGAGCGTAAGAATAATTGAGCTATCACAACCTTTAGCCTTATTGCTGCGTACCTTCGGAAGGGCGTGCTACACTTCCACGACTGTTGACCAGCCCATGTCACAAACGTAAGCAGTAGAAACAATGTACGGCGGAGAGGGGGGGGGGGGGTAAAAAAGACGCTCGCCCGAGACACATATCAGTAAAGAATACGCAGTGCAGAGAGAAGATATGATATAATACCTGGGCGAAAGACAACCCAATAGTTCTCGATGAAGCTAGAACATGCTCTCGTCATCACCTTCCATGATAACACCGAAAATACGAAGCCATCTTTGATATCGTACCGAAGGCTGAAACAACCTATAGAATAACGTCACCACTAAACATGCGAAAGTTCTTGGTAACTCGATACAAACTTGTATCGAGGCAGCTACCTGGTGACCGGCACTCATGGTCTTGATAACGTTCGAAAAAGAGCAGCTCCGACAACGTAGTCATGGTCCAGCGATAATTAATCTTCTTGCTTAGTCAGTCAAGCACGGGTTGATGGTAATGGGCGCAAAAGGAAGCACGCGACATTGTTTCGTGACCGGCGGATGCAAGCGGAGCGGTGGGTGGAGTTTCGCTTGACATGTTACATCGAGGGCAGCTTCGACGAGAAATATCCTGCCTTCAACGCCTCGTTTGCGCTGTTCACCATCTTGGACACGTCCGATATTGCCACAGGATTGGGTGGCAGCACATGGAATCGAAAAACTCTCGCCTAATTGGAATCGAAGAGTGTGAGTACCTGAAGGAATATCCAAGTACTGTACTAGACCGCCGGGTCTGGGGCAACGTCAGCAAGGTGGTCTACCAAAAAAAAAAAGAAAAAATTATACTCCGCTCCGATGAAAGCTTCAAGGCACGAGATCGCGGCGTTGCTGTGAGCAGAATTTCTCGATGGCGCTCGTCCGAGGACGCTTTGCCAGAGTTTTCATAGTCGTGGTCGCAATGTGTTGTTGATTTGATGGTGGAAAATTTTCAGCTTGGAACTCAAGAGTGTAACTTATTTTGCTTGCTCTAAGAAGGAGTCTTTTTCGCGGCCCCCCGCTTTTATATTTGAATAGCGGCGCCCTGTTGTTGCTGACACAATATTCAAGCTCTAATTTGATTCGCATTAGTCCTTCCTTATCATCTTGCTCTTTCTCTTTTGAGGTACTGGTCCACCACTGAGGAGGTCACTTCTGACTTGGTTGCTCGTGTACAAGAGTGGGAAGAAACCATGATGCCCATACTTGAAGAAGAAGAGACAAGAAAAGAATTCGATATTCACGAATATGGCGATCATTTATTAAGCATGTTCAAGGAGGTTGGCGAGACGAAGACGCTAGACGAGGTTGGTGATGTTTGAAGTGAGAAGCCGAACATGAGAACCTTATTTTGCCGCTCCGTCGTGCGCGGCACGTCGTGCGACAATGAGCGGCAATTTCTCGATGCGCGCAGGTTGTTTTACTTCGTGCAACTCACGTGCATTCAGGGAGGTGAGCCTTCATGCCGTATGATATATATTTTTACGTCCCTTAACATCAAAAATTCGAACAGCTGAGCAAGACAAGCTCGTCTCGAGGGCGCGAAGTGACTCTCACATCCACCAGCGCATCATCTTACGATTGTCTTGTCTTATTCACTTTGGTGTGCCGGACATTACTTCGCGTACGCTTTGCAGATGGCGTCGCGTGCGCTGCAGTGGAACCAGAACCAAATTGTTTTGGCGTGTGATTGCTGTAGTATGTCGAGTAAACCAGTTAGGAAATACTTGGCTTATTGCACGCGTCGCCGCAACATGGACTTGATGTCCACACTCGTGAATTCTGTGTCCCTTTGTCTGATTTGCAGTTGACTTAAGTCCAAATATCCTCAAATACTAGTTTTCAGCTGTTGGTCGGTCGGAAAAAATACGAAGTTAGCCGATATTTTCTTGCCTGTCTTATGATGGCGAATACGTACAATGTCCGCGTCGAGTATGAAATGGGCAAGGACGAGAATGGAGAGGAAAAATCAATAATGAAAGTTACCTTGTTAAAGAAGGACAGGCATCATGAAGTTTTTGATAGAGCAGGAGCGTTGTGATATTTCGACCGTGTTCGGAAGATTAGTGTATAAAGCATGTTACTTTTAAACCCTATTTTTCGTCTTTCTATATTTTATTGGCCATCAAAAATGGCATCTTTGCCCCTTTAGCTCAAAGTAACGTCACTCACCTTGAATGGAGCGATCTCGCTTGTATGTTTATTATATCCACTATGTTTGTACTCGAATGTGTTTATTGATAATAAGAATTGTTTGATCTTCCTATGTCCTAATTGAAGGGTATGTCTTACCCGTTTGGTTTACCTCGAATTTGCTCCCACTTGTGTCTTACGTAAATTACCGGTGACTTACAGTGATGTCGTTGTGGGTGGACAGATATCGCCCGAAGAAATTAAGCGAGCTATCCTACCACTTGGAACAGGTACTTAATATGCTTTCCAGGTGTCAATATCATGTCCTGAACTGTTTAGGCTTGTGATTTGGCTGAACTTGTGAAGTCTGATGACTTCCCTCATCTTCTCGTCCATGGTCCCTCGGGTGCAGGGAAAAGAACCCGTATACATTGTATCTTAAGGTGAGCTCTTTTTTAGGGGGGAAAACCTCAACATTTTATTGAATTGAAATATGCTAGCTTATTAGCTTTTTAGGGAACTCTATGGAGCAGG